TGTGAGTATGAGTGTATATCAGTGCGTTCACGTGTGGGTTAAAACATCGGCTTGCAATACATATAGTCGAGATCCCGCACTCTGATCAATTTCTGGATTTTCATGGTGAGTATAATTTCAACAATTTGACTCTATCAGTCTATCTGGAACCAAATGGATAAAAAGGAGAGGGACCCCCCCCCCCCCACCCCACCCAAGGTTATTCGTGCCCTCATCTATAACGAGACTGGTGTCTTGTCCTTCTTTTGTGCGCCGATGATGTTCACCAACGCAGCCAAAGTTTTCTTTAAAAAATTTTTTTTTTATTATTATAGTAGAGGGTTTTACGGCGCTCACAACTGCATAAGGTCATATGAACGCCAAGGGGTGGGTGTCAACAGAGAAGTCTTTACAGGGAATCAGACTTACTCTGCTCACCTCTCTAGCTTCAACAGCACAAGGTCTGCTTCGGCTAAAAATCAAGGCACCCCGGAAATAACAGGTCACAAGAGTGTGACAAACATACAAAAGACGTAGAGGAAAATGACAATAGTAAGGATTAGGAAAGAAAAAGCAGCAGTTCCCTGTAGTAGATCAGGCACAATTATAAGCGTGACATGAGTCAGCCCATTTACAATTCTACTGTGCTTGAACGAGAAATGTCCCCCCAGACACTACAGCCAGTGGCACTGCCCGGGGGGGGGGGTGTCTAAAGTTCAAAGAAAAGCGGCCATAACAGTGCACAATCTAGGATAATAATAATAATAATAATAATAATAATAATAATAATAATAGTAATAATAATAATAATAATAATAATACAGTACTTCAAGTCTATGTGTTAAAGAGACCTCATTCGGGAAACTCCGAGCTTCAGCAAGGGAGGGAAACACATTTCCAAGGGAAATGACCATTAAAATATATTGCTACTGCAAGAAATACGATCTATTTTTTCTTTTCTTTGAAAACAATCTACCAGTAAATTTGTCAATGCTGTAAATTGCTGCTTACAATGGGAGTATTATAGTCTGTTTAGCCAAATTTTGCTAATACAATATTTTAAACTATTGCTTGCACTTTAAAAATTCTCAATATTACGGTTTTAATAAGTAATTTTCATTAGCTTTTCAAATGAATTTAAGTATTCACATGTATTCTATTCATTGGAGTGCTATAACTATAGGCCCTAAGTAGATCATTCCTTTCTCAGGAAAGCGGAATTGATTCCGCTGAAATGAACCATAAGCGCGATTAATAATATCACACCCACGCGGACGTCCGAGAGAGCGATGTGCAATGGCGTAACGTTGCGCAGATCTTTTCCTTTTAGTTTTAGTAGAGGTTTTACATATGGTCATGAGCGCCAGAAGATTAGAGGTGTTACAATAGAGAGTAACAAACATAATAAAGAAAAAGGGGAGCGATAAGGACGATAGATGTTTGATAGGAAAGAAGAAGCAAACCACACCAGAGCATCCGCCAACCACCCACAGATCTTTTCCATCTATCCAGGGATTAGCCTCCCACATAGTGTATAGGCTACTACATGTATAGGGGGGGGGGGGGGGGGGGGCTCGTGGCCTAGAGGTTAAGGTGTTAGCCTCTCATTCAAAGGTCCCGGGTTCGATTCCGGGTAGCGACCAAAAAATTTTCTTCTCTAAAATTGTCTCCTTTCACCTCCTTTCCTGCTCTAGTAACAATGTTCTGTTATCTGCTTTCATTTCCACTTTCTGCCCCCACCCCCTCGCCTCCTTTGCCCCCTCCTCTGGGCTCCTGACTCTTTCTGCGGCCTTTCTACTGCTACTCCTTGGCTCCTCCTTACTGCTGTCTTTCAGTCACACCCCTGATCTTCTGGTAGGAAAGATCTACACCTAGCCTTCTCGGACAAGGGCCAAAGATCTCGGAGGGCCCGTGTGCAAGTTGCGCACGTTAAAGATCCCTTGGTGGTCTAAAATCGATAAGAGTAGGCTTCGGCCGCCACCTGGGCAAAATTCAAAATTTCCTACCAACTGAAAATATTAGGTGTGTCCCGCGCGCTCATATGACCTTATGCAGTTGCGAGCGCCGTAAAACACTTTACAAGAAAAAACAAAACACGTATAGGTTTTAAAAGGAGATAACTCCATGGCCTCACAGCACAAGCACGTCCAAAATATCCAACTTGGCATCCGAGGCAGGTAGTTCTCTTGGACAGTCTCTTCGTAATAATAATAATAATAATAATAATAATAATAATAAATGATAATGATGATGATGATTGTGATGATGATCATAATAATAATATTCCGGAAAAACACAAGGGGCGAAGAGAGAAATGGTACCTTTTTTAGACAGGTGAATGTCTTGGACTTGGACAGTTGCCGTAAGAGCAGCTAGGTTAGAATGTAGCTATAGCTTCTATAGGGTTTGTGGGTTGCAAGAGGAGCACTGGTACACCATCCATCCTCAAAGGGTGCTCAAGTGGTTTAATCTTAAAAAATTCTTTTCATAATAGGCTTCCAACTGCACATTTTATCGATTTGTTTATTTTTACTAAGGTTTTAGGACGCTCGCAACTGCATAAGGTCATATGAGCGCCAAGGAGTGGATATCAACAGAGAACTCCAAACGGGGAATCAGGCTTACTCTGCTCACCTCTCTTACTTACTTACTTGTCCACTGTGTTGGGGTCACTGCAGTCGGAACATGTCCATCTCTGCTCTCCCCCCGTCTTCAGGATCCATCCCAGACTCTGTCTACTTATAGTCTCCATCATTCATAATCTGGTTGGAGATCCGTCGGACTGGTCCGCAAAGATGGCTGTGTTTCCCCTCTCCTCTTTGGATCCCCTTCTCCTTCACTCTACCTAGAGTGTGGGAACCGCTATCCGCCTTATTCTTCCTCATATTTTCCCTTACAGCGGTTAGGAGGGTTGGTGGGTCCATTGTTCACCTCTCTAGCTACAACAGCAAATAGTCCGCTCAGAGAGTTTACAGTAAACCCTCTCTGGCCTGCTCCGACTATCAAGGCACCCCGGAAATAGCAGTTCACGAGAGAGTGACAAACATACAAAAGAAGTAGAGAAAAAAATGACGATAGTAAAGATAAGGACAGGAAAAAAAACCCCGCCAGTTCCCTCTATGTTGTTCCGGCACAATATGAGCATGACATTGATATCAGCCTATACGTTCTTATACTCTGACCGTCTAGATATCAGCCCATTAACAAGTCTACTGTGCATAAGAACATGTGAGGCAGCGTGGTGGAATCAGGCTCTCGTCAAAATAATCAAAGTTAAGAAACTTGCGTTTTTCCGCAGGTTTGTGAATTTTTATCAAATTTTTGTTTTTTGGCTCAACACCTTTCATGCCCATTAAAAAACTCATTTTTGCGTGGATTTTTCTGAAAAACGTTGATTAAAGGCACCAAATATGTAAATTTTCAGTTACCACGGACTCTTTAAGCTAAGGAAATAATTAATCTTT